AAAACAAACTTCACTATTTGCGTCAATGTTGCCATTTTGAATTTTGTCGTCTGCTTGGGTAGCACTTGTTTTTCCGAAGTGCCAACCTACACATGATTTCAATAACGATGGCAGTGGATTTGTCAATTTAAAGGTATTAAGTGACAAAAATCATAATCGAATTTTATTGTGCTTCGTGTATCTGTGTCTGAAATGTTTCTTTATGAAAAGAACGAAAGTTCGGAGTTCAGTTTGCGAGCCCACCGGCGCATACGTGCTGCAGCAATTTCTCATAAGAAAGCGTATGAAAAAGTGCTGACTACGCAAGCGCGTTGTGTTGTGTTTCAAATTCAAAATGGCAGCTATGACGCTTGAAATGTGAAGTTTATTTTCGTTGTGCTGGCGATTTGTGGTGGCGTTGTGTTGTGGAACGCCGTTATTGAAAACGATGAGACTGGAAGAGCTAGATAAACGTATGGAGCTAGTTTACCTCGAGTCTGTGTTCCTTCCGTGCGACTGCAGCCTCGACCTTCACCACCCAGCAACAGGGCTAGGTTACTTTGCTATGGATTGTTGGGCAGTCCAAAGAGTGAGTAACTAGTGTCATGTTGAACATACACTGGATGTGTATTTCTGGATGAGAAATGTTTTAATTGTTTCCTCCATGGTTATTGAAAGAAACCTCCCAGGTCTAACTCGTTGTACCAGTGCCATTTTATACATCAATAGTTGTGAAAATAGCGGAGAAGCTTTGTTGGCGTAAAACACATCTCAGTACTAACAAGACTTGAAATGTTGCTTCCTTAAAGTATAAAATGGAAACCTTGCATTAGTACATGTTAAAAGAAAAGCCATTAACGAGCATTCAGGAGTGTGGTTGCCGTCCATGCTGTAGTTTAGAGTGAGCTTGCTAAAGCACGCTTTAAAATAGAGCGTGCCTGGCAGGCACGCTTTAATTTAGAGCGTGCCTGGTAAGCACGCTCCAATTTAAAGCGTGCCTGCCAAGCACGCTCCAATTTAAAGCGTGCTTCTTGGCATGCTCCAAATAGAGCGTGCCATGCACACATTTCAGTTTGCAGAGCAGGGCCCCGCCGCCTAAGGCCAAAGTGTGTTTCCGCGGGGTTGCCTGCACTACACTTTGGGAAAAAGTCACAGTAAATCCTGTAGTGATTAGTACAGCTGTCACTGTAGTTCAGAGTACAGGATTTACTGTACTTTTTTAACAGGATCTACTGTACTTTGCACGGGATTTACTGTACCACAGGGGTGGAGTACGGAATATCCTGTACCAGGTACAGTAGATACTGTAGCCAGGCACGGTAAATCCCGTGTTCTGAACTACAGTAAATCCCGGCAAAAAAATTAACGGGATTCACTGTGGTTTTTTCGCACAGTGTACTGCGTCTGGACGCACCCAAAGACAGTCTGTGTACGTGCGCGCCACGCCGACGGGCAGGGGCGCACGGTCACAGCCCGGGCAGACCATTGAACGTGACCCTCGTTGCGAAGCGTTGTCATGGGCGTGATGGTCTTCCCTCGTGTCAGGGCGTTGACCAAGGCGCAAAGCGGAGGCGGGAGCACACCCTCCTGCTTTGCGACACGGGCTCGGCCCTTGCGTTGTTGCCACCGCCACCTCCAACGCCGTGAACGGGAAGCAGGTGTTTGCATAGACTGATTCTGCCTTCACCACACACAGGGCATTTCAACATGCAGGCAGGGGAAAAGTGGGGGGAAAGGGGGGGGGGGCTGGAGAGCTCTCTGGTGAGAAACTCACCTGGGGAGCCCGCATCGCGATGCCCCTCTTTCGTTGTGCAGGGATCGCGAATTGCAAAAGCTTATTATTGCCGCCTAAAGTTTAACTTGTTCACTTGCAGCCCTTCTCCTTTCTGATGTATCCTCTTTTCTTTATCTTTTTTTTTTTCGGGGGTGTTGGGGGGGGGGAGGGAGGAGGGAGCGGGACGGGGTGCTGCTTGTGGCAGGTGAGTACGATACGATGCACTCTACAAAAACCAGTTTGCATCGGCGTTGTAGCTCGCGTTACCGCTGTCGGGTTCTCCTCTCCATGCGCACAAAAGTTGAGCCTATTTGGCTTGCGGTGCGTTAGGTGCCCCTCGTGGGGCATTCCAGAGCCGATTGACAGTGGTCGAAGTTGACCTTTGACGATTTTGCTCATTTTTGGCTCTAATGCTACCTACCCATAGGTTAACACCCCCACAAAATTTTTGCCCTCTTGGTCAGTTGGTATGGGAACTGAGAGCAATCAAAGTTTTTGGCTATTTTGCTTTAGTCGTTTTTGACCAAATTGCACTTATTCACTGAAATGCTCCGGATGCTCCGGCAATTGGTCTTTGGACCTTCCTTTAGCATGCCTTTGTTACGGAGTGCGATTATCTGCCTTAGTTTGGGAGCAGTATTGCCGCAAAGTTGTTCCCGCCAGTGCTCGGCGTGTGGGCCAGCGACCCCAGCCACCTCGCCGCGAGCCCTCGGAATTTTTTCGCGACCCCATTTCTGTGGCAATACAACAAAGTGACGTAAGTCAAAAACATCAGTATTTCAGGAGACGTAAAAGACACTTTTCAAAATCACACTGCTAATCCAAGTGTGGACCAAGTCCACGCTAGGTAGCGTGGACCACGGTGGTCCACGCTAGGAAACGTGGACCACGAATGGTCCACACAAGGAAGCGTGGACCACGGATGGTCCACACTTGGAAATGTGATTGGTCTATGAAAAGTTCAACGCGGTGAAGCGTGGACCACAGCTCGGTCCACGTTTCCTAGCGTGGACCTCAACTCGGTCCACGTTCCCTAGCGTGGACCACGGCTTGGTCCACGCTTCCTAGCGTGGACCATTCGTGGTCCACGTTTCGTAGCGTGGACCACCGTGGTCCACGCTACCTAGCGTGGACTTGGTCCACACTTGGATTAGCAGTGTGCAAGCAACAGGTTAAAACTTTAACCGCTGATAGGAGAATTTCTTGTGGCACTTAAAAAATACTTGTATGTTAAGAGAAAGTTAAAATAATGATTGGTTTTCCACTTCGCTAGACTAACGTCACATGATTTGTGATTTTTAATCCAACAAAGTGACGTAAGTGCACTTACGTCACTTTGAAAGTTTATATTTTACTCCGTTGTGACCCCTTCTATATATTAAAGTTTAGACAGTGCAAGTCATTAGCTGTATGACATAATCGTACTCGAGGTCCCTGCCCAGCTGTGAAAAAATCTGTGACGCAGGTGTACTTACGACACATTTTTTACGACATGATTTCAAAAAATATGTCGTAAGTGCACTTACGACATTTTGGCAAATTGACTTCTGAGTGAAATTGACTTACGTCAGATTTTACTTGTCATTATCTCCTAGACCAAACGAGAAAAATGTAATTGTGCATATTGGACAAGGTCTGCATCAATGAGAGGGTTCCAACCGTGCTACTTACTCGTTTTTGTCGTAAGTGCACTTACGTCACTTTGTTGTAATGCCACAGATTTGGGGTCGCGACCCCAAGGTTGGGAACCGCTGGTGTAGCCGCAGTAGTGGTGCAGGCAACCCCGCGGAAACACACTATGGCCTTAGGCGGCGGGGCCCTAGGTCCAAGGGTCCGGGCCCTGCCAACCAGTGCCAACTGTCAGCAAAACCACACAACAAAGGCACAGTTCAGCCTGACATCGCTATTAGAGGTGCGTTGTGGGCTCCTACTGGCAGATCGCACTTTGCTTTCGTTCGAGGCTCTCAGCGGTGAAGCAAAATGTCGCATGTTGCCCCTGTAGGCAGGGAACTTTTGATACATCATCGTGCTCTCCCCTCTGAATTCGCCTCTGCACGGTGAGTGTGGTGCATGGGACGCAACGAAGGATGCACGATTTCGACATGGCAGTGCTGCAGTGGGGCCGATTTTATGTTTATCGTAAGGCGTGAATTCAAAAAGCCCGCGCCGGTTACTCACCACAAGCTCGTCCGGGGCGCGGACTGGTGAATTTCTCATTTCGTCACCCGCGTATTCTCACCGCCACTGATGACTGGTGAATTTCTCATACCATCGCCAGCGTAGCCTCGCCACTTCTTCGGCCAGGAGTCGGAAACGAGTACAGGCACTCTGTTCCTCGGCTACAGAAATCTCTAGTAAAAATCTTAAATAATTATTAATTAATTATATTAATTGTTTAAATCATTAATATCCGGGTACGACCTTTGAGCCCCCACCACCCCACATCACCCCCTCCACAACACAGATATAGAGGTTTTACTATTAATAGATATTTAATTTGATATTGTCGACACTTTTTCAGGAGGTGAACTGAGCCATCCCCGTTTTTAATGGTGTTAAAAATCCTTTTTGAGTGGGATAGCATTTTTTACGATTTTTTAGCACTTTTAGGGGGAAAAAAATTTTAGAGCAAAAAAATTTTCATGGTCAGAAACTTGTTTTTGGTGACCCAAGCAATGAGTCCACCAAGTTTGGTCCGAATCCGAGACATCGATTTTGGGGGTCGTGCGATTTGAGAAAGAACTACCCTGGAGTACCCTATTTCAGCACCCTCTGTCGGACCTCGGCCGCACTTGAGTGTTGTAATGCACTTGCGTAACGTGATTGTAAAAGTATTCTGGCTGGCACACTCGTAGACTGGAACTCTAAAGATCAAGCATGGAAATGAGACGATCGTCGGTTCGGAGGAAGGGAGAAATAGGATTTCCGGTTCTTGTACTCGCTCGGTCTTCAACAACCCAGACACTTTATAATTCTCATTTTACTTCCACCTTCGGCTAAGCGAGAGGTCATTACTGACTTGTTTTCGTTCTTCGCCCCCACTCTTATTCCAAGTACGTGCGTGACATCACGTTGAAATGAACGTGACGAAAGAGCGTGAACAAGCTAATTTTTGGCCGATTCACATCCGAACGAATGTGACTCAATGCCCAAACGAACGTGACACTGTGTCATGTTCGTTTCAACGTGATGTCACGTACTTTGCAATGAGAGTGCCCCCGCAGTGCTCTAACTTCTTTCGCTGTAGGTCGCGCTGGGCTGTATACTACTGCTAGGACTGCGCCTTGACAACGTGATCCAGAGTACTTCCCCCGCGTGCAGTAGGAATCGCCCGCAACGTCGCCGTAACAATGGACCAATCGGTAAGTCGTCTCTTCGTATTCAGGGAGTGTCGGTCGATACTTCAATGGACTGCATGTTAAGGGGAAGCAATGGATCTACAACCAGGGTGCGAAAACGTAACGTAACCGGTAACTTAACGGAAATTCGGAAGATACTATTACTGCCGTTATTTTAATTTTGTTAGTTAATGTTAGTAACAAATATAACATACGATTGAAACATTACCGATAAAATTATATCCACATCTAATCAGGTAGATAAACAACGGTTAATAGCTTTTAACGGTTATACAGAATAACGATTATTGAAATTAACCTTAATCATTGGAGAATCATTAATAACGTTAATTGTGGCCCATCGTTTTTAGGTTGCAGTTCATATCAATAATCGCAAAACCGTTCCGATTTAACGTTATTTTTTATATTACACGATGCGCTTATTTTCTCCTTCCGCTGCGCTGCGCCTGGGCGTACGGCTTGATAAGTGCCGCTAGAGTCGTATAGACAGACCCCTTTGGGGCCCCCAGAGGAGACTTTAGGACTCGAAGCGCCGAATTATCGTGGACGCGATTTCTTATAGCTCGGCGAGGATAGCCGTGTAGCCTTGCTTCGCTTGCCCGCTATGATAACGATAAAACAAATTATTGTTATTAATATGAAATGTAACCGTTAACCTACAGGATTATCGTTACTAAGGAATAACCTTTATTTTGCTAAACCAAAACGAGTTGTATTACTCAAAAATAGGATAATATACGACCCAGCACTGGTGCGAATAACAGCCCAGCCGTTATACGCCCCAGAAGAACTGGTGCGGATAAAGACCCAAACCGTTATACACACCAGTGATCCCCTGGAGGGATCTGCTGGGTCGCATAACCTATTGTTTATTTGGGTGCACCAGCTGGGGCGGATAAAGCCTTATTTGTTATACGCCCCAGCTGGAGTACACAATACTTGTAATTGTTACGTGCACCAGTTTTCAGAGTCTTTTAACTGAAAAATGCGCAGATTTCATTATCTACAAGAAATAAAAGAGATAACATATACATTGTGTTGATTCCTTGCTGTCCCCTTCTTGTTTTGCCTCCTTCATCCTGATTTTCCCTGGCAGACTTTGATAGTTTAAAATTTTAGTGGTCACTGGTCCTGGCCGCATTAACAGATTCGCATCGTTTGTTTTCCCGCGCATTGAGATTGTTCAGTCCTAACTGCTCTTTTTCAAGTCAGCAGCAAGCCTCTTATAATACAGGACTTAGTACTTGAATTCTTTGTAGTTTTTCAGTGGTATGTGTAATTGTGTATCCCATTAATGTGAGTAGAATGTGCCATCTGACTGATTTTAGTTTTTATTTTGAATGTATCTGAAAACTGGTGCACGTAACAATTACAAGTATTGTGTACTCCAGCTGGGGCGTATAACAAATAAGGCTTTATCCGCCCCAGCTGGTGCACCCAAATAAACAATAGGTTATGCGACCCAGCAGATCCCTCCAGGGGATCACTGGTGTGTATAACGGTTTGGGTCTTTATCCGCACCAGTTCTTCTGGGGCGTATAACGGCTGGGCTGTTATTCGCACCAGTGCTGGGTCGTATAATATTATCCTCAAAAATGTTATCGTTTATACCGTTTAAATGTTTATCCACGGTTATTGTTACTATGAATTAACGTTAATCCTCTTACAAATGTTTGCGGTTATTGGTTGTAATAAATAACAAAAGCGTTATTTCCGTTATATTGGTTAAGTTATTACACTCTGTCTACAACCGAAAGTTTTTCGCGGAAATGGGACTCTTGCGATACTGTTAAGACTAGTGCCGAACCAGTTTTGGCCGGGGCCACCCCTTCTTGCCCATCAGAGGCTTAAAAAATTGGTCTAATCATCAAAAATGACACTAGCATAACATTGGAACCAGGGACATATTTGAGATGCCCTGTCTCGCTTTTCATGCGGAAAATATGTCCGAATGCTGTGAATTTTTTGAGAGCTGTTGAACTAGGTCTATGGCCCGGGCGGAGGCCGTTTTAGTCTTAAAATAGCGCGAAAATCGTCGTTTTCGCTGTATTGTTGTGTTTTTTGTCATCAGTGCGGTGTGTTTTGCCGTTCAAGACGTCCCACTCGATACATATGTAAAGACACGTTCTGCAGTAGCATTTCGCACCCACTCAACTGCGGAAGTACCCTGAGTGGAACCGGAAATGGTCCAGATCGCGCCCGAAGTGTTCACGAAAGTGTACGGTAAAAACGGAACCTGGTTCTCCCAGGAAGCTAATGGTGATGGCATAGGTGATTTCCAGGGTGTTCCTGGGAAAACCAGGAACCGTTTTTGCCGTGTGGACACGGCTGCATTGCATGCACCCTTCCGGCGCAATCAGGGCCATTTCCGGTCCCACTCCGGTTTCTTCCGGAGTTGGGTAGATGCAAAATGCTACTTAAGAGCGTGTCTTCAGATATGTATCGAGTGGGACGTCTTGAAGGGAGTAGTACACTACGCAAGGTCAAAAAATACCGTAGAACGGGGTAATATGAGACAAATTTCGAGGTTTTTTGTGAATTTTCCCCTTTTAATTTCAATTTGAGGTACTGAGGTGTTCATCACTTGTTCATTGACCCTTTGGCTACACTCCCACCAAATTTCAGATTTTTAGGTGCAGTAGGGACCTTTCAATAACCCTCGGAATGCCGTCCCATATTTCCGTGCAATGTGGGGTAATGTGAGACATAAGAAAGAAATGTTAAAGAAGTATGGAGAATAAAATCATTTTGGCGGGTTTGGAGCTTTTTAAGTTCTTTTCATTCATTTTAAAGATGATAGGAAACTATAATGGAGACGATACATAATCTGGAGGGGAGAAAAATGGGTGTCATTAAAGAGAGCTGAAAAATGTACAAGAAGTCATGAGTTGTGCCTGTCACATGAAAATACTAAACGAAGAGCAGATGCCGATCAGATAGTAAAAAAGTTCCGCCAAGGCAAGCTTAGCAAAGCGGTCTTGCCGTGGACCGGCCGGGGAGGCCTGGCAGAGAGGGGGCAAGAAGGGTGGGGGTGGCTGTGAGGAGTGGGGACTGGCGAGGCGGCGCGGCGTGGCGGCGCAGGACGACAGACGACGACGACCAACACGACCATGCAGTCCCCTCCGAGCGCTTAATGGATGGATGGGTGGATGGGATGGGATGAGTGGGATCGGATGCAGAGCTAGAAGCGGTAGCAAGACCGCTTAAACTAGGGGTACGCGCCGTTTTGTTTGGGCGCGTAGTAGGCGAGCGATGCGTCTGTATTCTTGTAGAAGATGGTGAAGAATATGCAAAGTAGGGCCAATACAGGGTCAATGTGAAACTCAATTTTAAAAGTTTGGTCACAAATTGGTAAATTTTGGGGAAAGTAAAGGTCTGGGATGAAATTGGAAGTCATTTTCGTGATCAGCACACCAAAAACTGCAGGAAACTATGTAAAACTCGATGTAAAAATTTTGGTCCGAAATTGGTAAATATTTGGAAAAGTAAAGGTCTGAGATGAAATTGGAAGTCATTTTCGTGATCAGCGCACCAAAAACTGCAGGAAACTATGTAAAACTCGATGTAAAAATTTTGGTCCGAAATTGGTAAATATTTGGAAAAGTAAAGGTCTGAGATGAAATTGGAAGTCATTTTCGTGATCAGCGCACCAAAAACTGCAGGAAACTATGTAAAACTCGATGTAAAAATTTTGGTCCGAAATTGGTAAATATTTGGAAAAGTAAAGGTCTGAGATGAAATTGGAAGTCATTTTCGTGATCAGCACACCAAAAACTGCAGGAAACTATGTAAAGCTCGATGTAAAAATTTTGATCCGAAATTGGTAAATATTTGGAAAAGTAAAGGTCTGAGATGAAATTGGAAGTCATTTTCGTGATCAGCACACCAAAAACTGCAGGAAACTATGTAAAACTCGATGTAAAAATTTTGGTCCAAAATTGGTAAATATTTGGAAAAGTAGAGGTCCGGGATGACATTGGAAGTCATTTTTGTGATCAGCACACCAAATACTGCAGAAAGCAATGAAACACCGAGGAAATTTTGGTCGCAAATCATGTAACTCTAGTTGAAAGTATGGGTCTTCAGTTGTTAGGTTTCTTAAGAGCGTTTCCTGTTCATAGTGTCATGCCACGAACCCTGACCCTGTTACTCAGTCGAGTAACATTTAACAGCCAGCATTGAATTGCTTAATACGATTCACAAATACTTCAATTACCATTCGATATCTCCTTGTTACTGAACTTATGAATACGCAATGTTATTAGTAATACCTAAATAGCCTTTCTCCCTTTTAGTTTAAACTAGTGGATTTAACTATATTGATTTATCTGCATTAATTAAAAAGAGACATATTTACAGGCAGGCTGATTTCAACTACTTTGCGGAGAAGACCTTCTGTCAGATCCAATGAATCGTTTCATAGAATCCAATGTCGAGGCCACTTATTGCTAAACGCAAGTTTATCTCATTCATAATGATAGTCATGGTGTGTTATTTAATCTTTGAAACAGTTTAGCAAAAGTATTTACCTAAAATTCTGAGTAAATTAAAAAAAAAAAAAGCCAACTCAAACCATGACCAACACAAATTACCAGTTGTCGCAGACAATGTATGATTAAGTTAAAAGAATCGTCTCATGAAATCATATGACCAAGTCAGTGAATCGTCTCATTGAATCTGATGTCAATGTCAAACCTTGAATGCGCTACACTCACTCATCATATGGTTTTCTTTAAGGTTAGTACTATAGTAAACTCACAGCATTGCAATGAAGCCTTTTCCCAGAATCAGTGCCAAGAGTCAGCAAAGACTATTTATTTTGGCAAGATTAGCATCTGGTTTGTACTCATAGAATGTATAAATATATTTTCTAACTGTTATTGAGCAAAGCAAACAACTAAAAAATAAAGTGTCTGAGAATATAAATGGAAATACACTCACAAAGGTTAAAAAGACTAAATCATTCTTGCAATTATCAAACACACTCCACTGACTAAAACACTTCCCCTGTAGCGGGGGAGGGGAGGGGGTGGACGGACGGACGAAACGCGTAATAATTGTCACTTTCATTTTCCGTATTTCTCTGAGTTGACTCTCCGGAGGGGTTTCAATCATTCTAAAATATCGAAAAACCATGGCCGTACTCACTTCTAAGCCCTTCTGCTCTTTAGTTTGTTTTATTTGCCAATGTTTTGACAGGTCCCGTATTTAAGAGTCGCGGCCGCAAGTATGAAAAATTGCTACGAGCTGCCAGGCACTGCCAACCTAACCACGCTAAGAACCTAATTCAAAAAGATGTTTTGAATATTTCAAACAATAGTAATCGTGAATATAAGATAAACTCCCCCTGGGGGAGATTTACACTGTAAAAATTAATATCCGGAATAAACGACGGATCCTTCGGCAAAAAAATTGCCAACGGTTCCTTCGTTAATTTACGAAGCTCTTCGTATATTTACAAAAACCTTCGTTATTTTTTTGAAAGATCTCTGCTGATTTTCCAATTACAATGGAAATTTACGAAGCACCTTCGTAAATCTACAAAGATCCTTCGTAAATTTACAGGGAACCTTCGTTTATAAACAAAGAAACTTCGTTAATATACAGAGATTCTTCGTAATTATACGTCTGGAATTAACGACGGATCCTTCGGCAAAAAAATTGCCAACACTTCCTTCGTTTATTTACGAAGGTCCGCCGTAGATTTACGAAGACCCGTCGTAGATTAACGAAGCCCGTCGTAAATTTACGAAGCCCTTCGTAAATTTACAACAGATTTTGTAAATTTACGATTTTTCTTCGTAAATTTACAAAGAACCTTCATGAATTAACGACGAACCTACGTTGATTTACAAAAGTTCCTGTAGGAAAGAAACATTTACAGTGCACTTTTGGACATTCCCAAAAACCCTTCGGAAAATATTCCGTCGTAAATTCACAACATATTTTTTACAGTGTAGGAGCCTTCCGGTGCGAAATTTTGAAACTATTTGTGCGGTAGTTGCTGAGAAACGTGAGTGAGTTACGGACACACAGACAGACAGACGCACGACCAGTCACTTTTTGGTACCCCCAAACACGGCATGGGCTCGCTATCGCTCGCCAAAAATTCGTGTTAAAATAATTATTTCTTGAAATTATTAACAGTAGAGTATGTTTGGCCTCATGTTTCAAGCGAAAAGAGGTGTCTCTATTTTCCCTGCAAGGTAACAAAATTGTATTCCATCTGGAACAGGCAGCCCGGGAGTCGACATAACGGAACCAAATTTTGTCCTGATTATGTTGACATAATTGCCTGCCTACAGATTTATACCTCGTTCGGACGAGAACCCGAGTTCCAACCGAGGTTTCTGGGGAGGTTTTTAGTAACTTTATAAAACTTGCTAGAATTTAGAGGTTTTTCCTTTGGTTCTAAATAACCCTGGCAATTCTCTGATAGCCTTCGTGCGTTTCCTGTAGGCTGCCACGGCCTTCTAGATCACGAAAAAAAATTCACGGTGGTCTTCTGAACAACCGCTAGATAGCAACACGAAAAAAACCCGAAAAAAGTGCGCTTTGTCTCGATTTTCCTTCATGTCTCATATTACCCCGTTCTACGGTACTGTGTTTGTGCAATTTTTTGCGGACGCATGACATACAGGGCGTTAAAACTGATCATAGGATCTTTTCATACTGTAACTAACGATCAAAATCACAAATTTTGTTAGGTGTCCTGCAGCTATTGCGAGTTCGTCAGAGTTCGCTTAACCACTGCAAAAAATACACAGGTCGTTGGTCTTCGCGATTTGGAACTACCAAATGTCCACATAATTGATCCAGGAAGCGGAAGAAGGGAATAACTTGACTTATCTCCAAGTTGAGTTTTTATCTTATTATTGTGTCTTAGAATGGTTTACATCATTACACCAAATTATTTGACTTAATTCATTGCAGTTAAGAAGAAAATCCACATTGAAAAAGGATATAACTCAACTTGACCCCTTTTACGCTCTAAATTTAGCGGAAAATGGAAACAACTCAACCAAACTCCACATGACTCCGTTTAAAATATTTCCAATAGAAGATAACTCAACTTGTATTTTAATGAATCTAGTGTAAAAAGAATCAAGTCAACTTAAGCTCCCTTCATTTTAAAAACTGAAATGGAAAAAAGAGCTAAGTCCAAAAAATACACCAGAGTAACAAGCACTTTATGCTGACTAAAGTTCCACTTGACTTGTCTCCAAATTCCACTCCGTTTAGGAAATGCAAATTGAGATGTCTCTGTTTTCCATTTCAACGGAAAGTGATAAGTCACAGAAACCCTCTATGGAGAGATCTGACACTTAAGATGTTTTTCTCAAAATTAAACTTTTGCTTTTTGAACTTGTTATCATCTACAAAATTCATTTGGTTTGTTTTATTTTTCCCTGCTTACAGTTTTTTCTTTCTCCTGAAAAATGGCCAAAATGGACTTATCCCCTTCTTCCGCTTCCTGGATCAATTGTCCATGGCTTCTTTTAAACTAAATGATGGATGGCTGTTGACAAATTTGTCGATTTGTAGGACACTTCACGTTGCGTCCAGATCTTCGTGACGAAATAAGCGTATTGCTAATGGACATATTTGTTTTATTTTCTACATACTAGTGTTATGGACTTTCTTGTGGACATACTTGTCCACGTGAACAATTTATCGCTTAGTCTATAAACAATAATGCTTCCAAATATCTGTGCTCAAATTTGTCTGTGGTTTGTGGTTGAAATTGTCGCCCTCTGGTAACGTTTTGCAACGGACACATAATAGCTCGGTAATTGCTAACAAAAATGTCCATGGCTATTTAGTGTGCACCGTTCATTTGTCCTACATGGAAAAAATTGCAGTGGTGGCCTCTCAGCCTCTCTTTTAAACTCTGTGCCTTTCTTAGTTGTAAGACTAGTGGAGTGTTGACCTGTCGGTTGACCTCCACGCCATGTTTTCGGGAACCTTGGAGCTTGCGGCACACTACATGTTGAGCAATTTCGTGCGATTTTGTACGTGGCGATGCTTAATTTTAAACTTGTGTACCGTCGTGCATAAAATTGTGCGTGAAGTTGCTTAAATTTATGCATCCTTACGCATGATATGCAAATTCCACGTATGCACAAAATCGTGCAAGTTGCACGTACAAAATTCTACCTAATTGGCCCGTCCCGTTTATTTTTTGTAAAAAATGACGAAGGGACGGGCATATAGTATGATCCCTGCTGTGCGTCCGTTCGTCCGTCCGTCCGTCCGAGGACTTCCCGTGGTCCGATCTTGACCAAATTTGGTATGCAGCCTCCTTGGGTGACCCTAAGAACCGCCCGGTGGCAGCAAATCCGATCCGAGCCCCGGGGGCGCTGCTGCAGGTGCATCATGGTCTACATGGGGTCGAGGAGGATCTCGGCAACGGATGCAGCTAGCAGGGCATGTAGGGGTATTTTTGGAATCGGGGCGACGAGAGAAAACCAATGGTGCCAGTTTCGAGCGAATCGGAGAACTTCGGACCCGGGTTCAAATCCCAGCGGAGTATTTTTTGAACATTCTTTTTATTCGAGTTTTTGCATTGTTTTTGATGTTTTCCAGGGTGCTGATGACGAAAACGTCATTTATTTTAACCCCAGACTCAGGTTTAATTCCCGTCAGGGTCAAACATAGGCGAAATTCGTACGTTTCTTAATGTACGGGACGGGCCAAAGTTGCCGATGTATATCGCTACTTTTCCTGTTATTTTAATGTGGGCGTGCCTTGTGCAATGCCTTGGGGTCTCCAGTGCTGATTCACTCTCATTCCAGGAACTTGACATCACGTTGAAACGAACGCGACAAGGTGCCACGTTCCTTTAGAGGCATTTTTTTTACTTTAATCCGATCGCGGAACACGACCGATGACGCTATCGTCTATTTTTTTTTATTTTTTTTGCCAAGGTAGTCCTTGTGGGTCTAAGAAAGGCCCAAAATTTTTGGGCTGAAATATGCACGGTTCAGATTCTATGATAATCATTCACTGCAAAGTTTGCTTCCCACAAATTAGGCAAGCCGTTTGGAGTGCCAAAATATTTAAGCTTTGACCAGAAGTCTTCAAAGACTAGCCAAATTTTGGCCAAACTGGGGAGTATTTCCGGGCCAAGGTTGCCAAATTTTTGGCATTTAAAACGGCTTGCCAAATTTGTGGCATTCCAAACGGCTTGCCAAATTTGTGGCAAGCAAACGTACCACTGGCTTTGCAGTATTGTGTCTCATTCGTTTGATTATGAATGAAATAATTTATGACTATTTCCCATTCAAACGAACGTGACACAACGCTGAAAGGAACCTGACCTTCTGTCACATTCGTTTCAACGTGATGTCACGATCCTGGAATGAGACTTAAACCAACATTTTCTTGCCCGCAGCTGCTGCTGGCCCTGCCGGACGACGCGCTGCTGGCCGTGCTGGCGTTCCTGCCGCCGAGAGAGCTGTTCAAATGCCGCGTACTGTGCCGTCGCCTCCGCGACCTGTGCCTGCACGCGGACCTGTGGCGCCGCGTCCGACTGCCGACTTGCGATCCCACGTTGCGAGCCGCCCTCCGCCTTGCACCCTGCCTCCGCGAAGTTCTCTGGTATTACCTTGGTGCAACTGCCCCGTGGGCTGAGGATGAAGACCCGGAGTTGTCTCGCTCTGCGTGTGTTGTTGCCCGGCTTAAGCTGTATGTAAACAATATGAACGAGTTGCGGGCTTCGGCTGCAGTGTTGAAGCAATCCAGCTTAGGTGGTGTAAAGGAGCTTGTCCTCACGTTCTTTCCGAACTACTGTGGGGCAGCCACAAGGTGGAAAACCTTTCAACTGGTTTCGGCGATTAACCAAGTAAACCATCTCTATAGTTTGCAAATTAAAATTTTTTCTAAGGATGCGCTGTTAGAGCCATGGTTTGCGGTGGTTGGCATGGTTGGTGTCTCTTCCTTGAAGAAGCTCAGTTACGCCTCGCCTTCCTATGATTTTTATCTGGAATATTTACTGAAGACGCATGCGGCCACCCTCGAAGATGTACACCTGGACTTGACGCATATTCCCGTGTCGTCACTGAAACTGCTACTGAACCTGCGCACCTTGTCCTTCGAAACAGACTCAGGGGATGATCTGTCCGAACTGGAGAACTTGCCCAACCTCTCCTCATTAAAATTCGGGTTGAACTGTACATTTTCTACAGGTGGACTGAAACTCCTGCGCAGGGCACCGCGGCTCCGCTCTGTATCGGTTCCTTGCGCCGATCCTGACCCCACTGCCCCGCTGCTTGCACTGGCCGCATCGCCCTCGGCCCTTATCCTTGAGACCCTTCATTTGGACGGACTTCCATCGTCCAGCCTCCTTGGCCACATGGCCGCCGCTCTGCCTCAGTTCCCGGCGCTGCGGACCCTCTCCATGGTTATCAGTTTCCAGTACAAGGAAGTGGACTTGGCAGACTTCGTGCGGGCCGTCAGTCCAACGACAGCCCCGCGCCTCACCATGCTGGCGCTGCAGTTAACCCCTCCTGAAGGTGTGTGCCCTCAAGCCTGGATTCACGGCCCCTCTATACGAGACCTGCTGCAAAGGAACCCTTCCCTCCACCTTCGCGCGCTGTTGTTACCCTGTTACTACGTTAATTGCTCGTGGTGCCTCTGGGATCTGAGAGAAACACGCCAAGCCGTACTCGGGGCACACGCCAGGCAGGCTGGCTGCCCTCCAGACTGTTACCGGTGGCTTTGATCGTGCTAAGCTGGCATTCCCATTGTCCGATTGCTATCTGCTGGTACAAGCAGTGCATTTCACATATTGTTTAAGTTCTTCTCTACTTTTGTTCGTTGTCATCTTGTTACGTGTAATTTTAGAATGATTTCCCTAGTCAGTAGTACTGCACTTTCTCTCATCAGCAGGAAGAGTTCTCTCTTTCGTTCACAATTGGTGGCTAACTAAATACACTTAGTTCCCTAGTGGGAATTTATGGATGACTTTGGATGTCGTATTCTAGACATCCAGGGACATCCAGGATGTTCCACTGACATCCACGGACATCCCGAGTGTTTCATTCTGGAAGTCCCTGGATGTCAGCTCCTCACATCCAAAATGGTCCAACCACATCCACCGACATCCAAGCGACATCCATTCACATCCAACGACGTTCCCTGACAGCCCAGCCACATCCATTCAGATCCACCAACATCCATATCCAGTAACGACCTCCACTGTCATCCGTTTGCATCCACCTGCATCCATGCTCATCCATCGGCATCCATCGACATCCATTCACATCCAAATGACATCCATCGTCATCCATTCACATCCACTCTCATCCAATCACATCCAAATGACACCCATTCTCATCCATCGACATCCAATCACATCCAAATGACATCCATTCTCATTCAACATCATCCATTTACCTCCATATGACATCCATTCTCATCCAAACGACATCCCAGCTCTTCCACCTACATCCATTAACATCCAAAAGACATCCATTCTCCTCCACCGTCATCCATTATCGTCCATATATCATCCATTCTCATCCACCAACATCCACTCACATCCAAATGACATCCATTCTCATACACTGTCACCCATATGACGTCTAATCTCATCGTCCATCGACATCCATTCACATCCAAATGGTATCCTGTGGGGGAAGTTTCTAAACCTAAACGACCGTTAGGCGCAAATGCCGAAAGGACCATGTATGATAAATGATCGCAAAACTGTGCCACAGCCTAGTTAAAACATCAACCAACACTGTAACCGAGAACGAACAACGGCACGTTGAGCACAACGCCATCTGGCGGCGGCTCCATAAACCTCATCCTCACAGTATGAATGTTCGGGCGCTCACATCACCGACATACATTCTCAACGACCGTCATCCATCGTCATCCATATGCATCCAAATGCCATCTCTTTGCATCCCAGCAACAACCAGGCGCATCCCAGCGACATCCATTCAGATCCAAGTGACTTCTATTCGAATCCAAGTGACTTCCATTCACTTCCATCGCCATCCACCCCTATCCAAACGACATCCATACTTTTCCAGTCACATCCATTCACATCCATTCTAATCCATTCACATCCAAATGACATCCATTCTCAGCCACTCACAAACATTCACATCCAAATGACATCCATTCACATCCAAAAGACATCCACTCACATCCAAATGACCTCCATTCTCATCCATTCACATCCATTTTCGTCCACTCACATCCATTCACATCAAAATGACATCCACTATCACATCCATTCACATCCAAATGACATCCACTCACATCCATTCACATCCATTCACATCTAAATGACATCCATTCTCATCCACTCACATCCATTCACATCCAAATGACATCCATTCTCATCCACTCACATCCATTCAAATCCAAATGACATCCATTCACATCCAAATGACATCCATTCTCATCCATTCACATCCAAATGACATCCATTTACATCCATCCACATCCGAATGACATCCAAGTGACGTGGATGTTATTTGGATGAGAATGGGTGTCATTTGGATGAAAAAGGATGACGGTGGATAAAATTGGATGTCATTAGGGTGTCAATGGATGTGAATGGATATGATTTGGATGTCATTTGGATGTGAATGGATGACAATGGATGTGAATGGATGTCATTTGGTTGCGAATGGGCGAAAATTGATGTCATTTGGATGTCTTTGTCATACTGGATGTGAATGGATGTCTTTTGGATGTGAATGGATGTGAATGGAGGTCGTTTGGATGTGAATGTATGAAAATGGATGTGAATGGATGTCATTTGGATGTGAATGGAAATAAATGGATGAAAATGGAAGTCATTTGGATGTGAATGGATGAAAATGGATGTCATTTGGATGTGAATGTTTGTCGTTTGGATATGAATGGATGATGGTGGACGGGAATGGATGTCAGGTTTTTGGTCGTGGCTGGATGTCGGTGGATGCAAAAGGATGTCGTTTGGAAGTAAAGCTCATTGACTCAAATGGATGTCGTTGGAGACGAGCGGATGTCCCACGGAAGTCAGTGGATCTCCTTAGACGTTTGTGGATATGGCTGGGAAGGCAGTGGATGTCGTTGGATGAGATTGGATGTGGCCGCGGAGTAGGTGGATGTCGTTGGACGTAAGTGGAAGTCGTTTGGAACAGCGGGTGGAAACTCCCTTAGCGCGGCTGGGACCATGTCTCGGGCGGCTCGCCACGGCCCGGTCGTCCGCCCGGCGCCCGAGAATAGGCTGCACCGGCCTCTATTATTGCTTAGAAATCAATTAAAAATTCGACTTTTGGAAAAAGTGGCCATGCTAAGCCACAATTTTTTAACCAAGGAATCGTTTTCATTCATTGGATTTGACCAACAGACATGTTATAACAATGAATTTCTCTCCGAAACTTTTCGGCGGCGACGCGCTATCCTGCGAGCTACGGCCATCCTACGCATAGCAAACTTAATCCGTTTCGTTCTCAGCAATCGTTCATCGCAATGCAAATCCGAGGACAGATTCGGAATCTGCGTAAAATTTCCTGTGGCGTAGGACGTATCGTTATATTTAAAACCCTCAAGATAAAGTGTAGTCATAAGAGGGAAAATAACCTAAAATGACCTTGAAAAACCGGCAAATTTAACGTAGTTTTCTCATTATAACTACACTTTATCTCGAGAGTTTTAAATATAACGATACGTCCTACGCCACAGGAAATTTCACGCAGATTCCGAATCTGTCCTCGGATTTGCAATGCGATGAACGATTGCTGAGAACGAAACGGATTAAGTTTGCTATGCGTAGGATGGCCGTAGCTCGCAGGATAGCGCGTCGCCGCCGAAAAGTTTCGGAGAGAAATTCATTGTTATAACATGTCTGTTGGTCAAATCCAATGAATGAAAACGATTCCTTGGTTAATAAATTGTGGCTTAGCATGGCCACTTTTTCCAAAAGTCGAATTTTTAATTGATTTCTAAGCAATAATAGAGGCCGGTGCAGCCTATTCTCGGGCGCCGGGCGGACGACCGGGCCGTGGCGAGCCACCCGCTGTTTGGAAGTTGGTAGATGTCTTTGGACGTGTGTGGATGTGGTAAGGAAGCTAGTGGATGTCCATGGACGAGAAAGGATGTGGCTGGGAGGTGGGCGGATGTCGTTGGACGTGAGTGGATGTCGCTCGGAAGTCCGTGGATATGTATGGACGCGTATGGATGTGACTGGATGAAAATGGAGGAAAATGGATGAATTTGGATGTCTATGGAAGAAAATGGACGACTTTGGATGTGAAATCCGATCTCCAACCACATCCAAGTTCTACCAGGGTTGTTAAATGCCTGACCTGTAAGAGCTCCAATTATATCATGTATCAAAGTATGCCTGTCATGTTCTTATTGACACCCTCTGTGCACTCGGCAAAATCGTTCTGCTCACTCAATCAGTACCATCTGGCTATTAAACTGCATAAGTCAAGATAGGCAAGTTCAGATCCAACGCGCGATTTTAACAGGGTTCCACTTAATTTTAACTGCGATAATCAAGAACCTATAAAGCCCCAATCCGACTGACTCACTGACTCACTCACTCACTCATGGAAATGTTTGGGGTGAAGGAGTGGTCGTAGAGACTTACGGTTTTTTCCATTCGATTCCAAATCTTATGGGAAAATTGGGAAAAATCCCAAAAGTTGAAAATTCCTCACCGTTTCCGAGAAAACCTACTTTATCTACAAAAAAGGGGAACAAATTTCTCACCGTTTCCGAGCAAACCTACTCAATCTTCAAAAAAGGGGACCGACCGACTAAAAATTTTTCTTCGCCCCATCGGTAGGTCTGGTCGAGACATTTCCGAAACTGTGCCGCAATCCGGTCCCCGTCACCGGCAACATCCTCAAAAACGATTAAATAGGCCTAAATTCAACAAAATCCACTCTATCTTCAAAAAAGGGGACCGACCGACTAAAATTTTTTATTCGCCCCATCGGTAGGTCTGGTCGAGACATTTCCGAAACTGTGCCGCAATCGGGTCCCCGTCACCGGCAACATCCTCAAAAACGATTAAATAGGCCTATCAACAAAATCCACTCAATCTTCAAAAAAGGGGACCGACCGACTAAAACTTTTTATTCGCCCCATCGGTAGGTCTGGTCGAGACATTTCCGAAACTGTGCCGCAATCCGGTCCCCGTCACCGGAAACATCCTCAAAAACGATTAAATTGGCCTAAATTCAACAAAATCTACTCTATCTTCAAAAAAAGGCACCGACCGACTGAAAATTTTTATTCGCCCCGTCGGTAGGTCAAGTCGAGACATTTTAGAAATGCCACAATCGGGTCCCCGTCACCGGCTACATACTCAAAATCAATCATCAATTGTCATAAAGAACCTATAAAGCCCCAAAATCCGACTGACTCCCTTACTCATCAATCAAGAACCTATATAGCCCCAATCCGACTGACTGACTCACTGACTCACTCGCTCACTATGTTTGGGGTCAAGGAGTAGTCGTAAAGACTTGCGGGTTTCTTCCATTCGATTCCAAATTTTATGGGAAAATCATATAAAATCCCATAAGTTGAAAATTCTTCACCGAGCTTTCGAAGAAGCAGGACATTTACTTCCTTAGAAAATTTGCCTTTGGTCACCACGGACTTACTGAAAATACTTCGGCACGCGCTCCACACATGCGGGGGTCTGGGGGCGGAGCCCCCAGCGAGCAGCGCGAGTTACTGTCTAAATTTTGCAATAAAAAACTGATCACAAGTTTTTTTTGCTGTGAATACTACAATAAATCTACAATAAAAAATTTACAGCTGAAGTTTGCAATAAAGTATCACGTTTATGCGATAATGACTACAAAGTCAACAAAAAAATTGTGATAAAAGTTCCCACAAAACGCTCTTTCATCGCAAAAATTAAGGGGTGGATAATGCAAAAAAATTAATGCACTCCAGGGTACAATATCGTGGGAATCGCAAAAAATTGTTAAAGTACACTGAGGCAAGAAGCTACGGAAAATTCTGTTGACAGCTTTTGGTGATTCTCCGTAGCCCCCTTAGTATATTCTCCGTTGGACCTTACAGTATTGTGAGTAGGAGCGTACAGTCTTCTCCGCAGGACCATAGTCTTCCAGACCCTACGGAGAAGCCTTTACGGTCCCACAGAGAATACTGTAAGATCCTACGGAGAATATTGATAAGGAGGCTACGGAGAATCCTGGCAAAAAAAAATTCACAGAATGTTCCGCACCTTTCTGATTGCTCCATTTCCCGAATATCGTTCAAGAAGGTACGAAGCATTTCCAAACACCCATGAAAACCCATAATCGGTCGAATCATAGAACGCACAAAAAAAAAGCGAGACACCTTTTTAAGAGGAATAGTGAGACTTCGTGTTTCGCCTCGAAAGCGTGTTACATTTAAATTTACCGTGGCGGCTGCCATACCATCATGTATAGAATGATGCCAGTATCACGTGGATCACCAATACTTTGTACATGACTAAAAATGTAAGACAGTTCAGAAATAGAAACTTATGATGGAAGAGCAAGACAACATAGTGGTTCCACACTGTTAAGAGAAGTCGTTATTTTACAACAGTAATCCCAACAATTAGTGTTGTAATTTTACAAATAATAATTCGTAAATTAACTACAAGATTCATGACATGAACAATTGTAATATTTTCGACAAACTTAACTCATAAATTTAGGAATAAATTCGTAATTTTACGATGAAATCTTATTGTTACTGACGAAAGATCGTAGTTTTACTGATAAAATCGTTATCTTACGACTATTCTCGTTTTATAACGCGTAAACTTGTTTTCTTACAAATGAAGCCTTATTTTTAAGAATAGTTGCCTGTTAAATTTGTACCACGAACTGCACTGTTTTTTTACAAAGAAAATTGTAAATTGACAATCTGTTCATCATTTTACAAACTGCTTCTAAAATTTACAGGTGAAATCGTTAATTTACAAGTATGATTGTAAAAGCAAGTCTGAAAAAGTGCGTTTTCGTCCGTTGTTTCCTTACTATATAGGAAGAAAAAATGCCTGAAACTACCAAAATTTGAGGATAAAGTTTGTAAGTTTAAGAATATTTTTGTAAATTGACGAAAAAAAGGTGGATGATCAGATCGTTTTTTAAATTTACGAGCAGTTCGTGGTACAAATTTAACAGACAATCGTAATTTCACAAAATAATCCCGAACAGTGCAGTAGCATAGGTGACCCTATGCTCCAAACCAAACAAGGAACGCTACGACTGATTCGCAGGGCAGGACTTCCTGTGCCGGTGCAGCGACGACCGGAACTTGAACTTCTTTCCACAGCTCTCACACGCGTAACGCATTTCTCCGGAATGCAGCGTCATGTGCTGCCGGAGGCTGTCCTTGGCTCGGAACTTCTTGGAGCACACCGTGCACTGGAACGGCTTTTCGCCAGTGTAGATGAACTGGTGCATCCGCAGGTTCCAATACTCCGCGAAGCTTCGGCCGCACTCGTCACACTCGAAGGGCCGTATAGCATTGTGCTGCCGCAAGTGAGCCACGAGGTCCTTGGGGTTGGCGAACCTTATGTCGCACTTGGAGCAGCGCAAAAAGTCAACAAAAAAATTGTGATAAAAGTTCCTACAAAACGCTCTTTCATCGCAAAAATTAAGGGGTGGTTATTGCAAAAAAATTAATGCACTCCAGGGTACAATATCGTGGGAATCGCAAAGGAGGCTACGGAGAATCCTGGCAAAAAAACTTAACAGAATTTTCCGCACCTTTGTAATTGCTCAGTTTTCAAAATATCGTTCAGGAAGGTTGGAAGCATTTCCAAACACGGCATTACAATGCAATCAAAACAAAACTTTATTTGAATTAGATAAGCTGAGAATGTAAAAACCCGCAATCGGTCGATTCATAGGAAACAAAAAAAAATAAGCGAGACACCACGTTGAGACAAGTAGCTACTCACCTTTTTAAGAAAAAATAGTGAGACTTCGTGTGTCGCCTCGAAAGCGCATTACATTTAAATTTACCGTGACGGCTGCCATACATCATGTAGAATGATGCCAGTATCATGTGGTATGATCAACAATACTTGAATAGAAACAAAATAGAACGTCGTTACCAGTCATTGTACACGACTGAAAATGTAAGACAGTTCAGAAATAGAAACTTTTAATGGAAGAGCAAGACAACATAGTGGTTCCAGGGGCATAGGTGACCATATACTTCGAACCAAACAAGGAACGCTACGATTAAGAGGATATGGTACACCTCCCCAGAAGCGGCATTTCCAGGGACGCGCAGGGACCTCTTTCTAACGCCGTCCTGGCCACACCGTTCGAGGTATCGATATGGAACTTGGCACACGGGCTCAGAAGGGATCAATCTCAATGACGGTGCGTTCAAAAAAATTTTTGAACGCCTAAGTTAGGCCCCAGGGCAGTTCAGTTCTGGTCCAACTTTCGTTCACAACACATCCTGAGAAAATGGGAATATCGAAAAAAGGGCGATGGTACGTTCTAGATTGACATTTGCTCTTTCCAGTGATGATATCCCCGTTCCTGTGCGACTAAAATTAGAGGCCAAAACCCGGTAGACCGCAGACCTCTGCACGGTGATTTTTGTCATCTCGCAGAGTTTTGAAAAGGCACTGTCGTAGACGGGCTATGCTGAACCCCGCCTGCCCCCGCCCCTGCCCCTCCTGGCTGCCTGCATGCAGCCCTCTGCTTTGTCTCTGCGCCGGGCCCCCTGCCGGCCCCCCGCCCCCGCCTCATTCACGCGCCGGAGCCGATGAGTCGAAGGGTCGGCAGCGTGACAGGCCGATTTATGGGCCCCAGACCCCGGCAGTTAAATTTTTGAACGGATTATTTTAGAGTTTTAGGATTTGGCGAATGGGGTCCAGCGCACGATTGTGGTTTCAGGCAACTCAAAAATAAAGTTCTACGACCATTTTGACCTTAGCTCTCCAGTACTAGCACCGCCACCGGACTTGATTACGTTCGGGATAGCCTAGGTCAAAATAGTCGCAAGAACTTGAATCTTTAGTCGCCTGACACCGCAATGGCCCGTTGAATCCATCTGAGCAAGTTTCACAACTCCAAAATGAACCGCTGAAAAATTTAACTATTTAGGCACGGGGCCATAAATTGACCTGTCACGGTGCCGATCCTTGGGCGAGGGTGGCGGGCCAGGCTGTGCCCAGGCAGTCCCTATTCAGTGAAACAAAGTCGGCGACAACATGTGCGGAGTCTGGGGCCGGTACAGCTCGTCGACAGTTACATTGCACTTCCTCTCTTTGACCGGCTCCGGAATCGCCGAAAGTCGCCGTGCAGAGGTCTGCGGTCTACCGGGTTTTGACCTCTAATTTTGAACGCACAGGAAAGGGGATAACATCTCCGGAAAGAGTAAATGTCAATCTAGAACGTACCATCGCCCTTTTTTCGATATTCCCATTTTCTCAGGATGTGTTGTGAACGAAAGTTGGACCAGAACTGAACTGCCCTGGGGCCTAACTTAGGCGTTCAAAAATTTTTTTGAACGCACCGTCATTGAGATTGATCCCTTCTGAGCCCGTGTGCCAAGTTTCATATCGATACCTCGAACGGTGTGGCCAGGACGGCGTTAGAAAGAGGTCCCTGCGCGTCCCTGGAAATGCCGCTTCTGGGGAGGTGTACCATATCCTCTTAATTCGCAGAGCAGAATTTCCTGTGCCGGTGCTGTGACGACCGGAACTTGAACTTCTTTCGACAGCTCTCACACGCGTAACGCATTTCTCCGGAATGCAGGGCCTTGTGCTGCCTGAGGCTGTCCTTGGCTCGGAACTTCTTGGAGCACACCGTGCACTGGAACGGCTTTTCACCAGTGTGGGTGAACTGGTGCATCCGTAGGTTCCAATACTCCGTGAAGCTTCGGCCGCACTCGTCACACTCGAAGGGCCGTTTGGCATTGTGCTTCCGCAAGTGAGCCACGAGGTCCCTGGGGTTGGCGAACCTTATGTCGCACTTGGAGCAGCGCAGGTCTCTGTTCTGGTCCACCAAAGCCATGGTCATCTGCAGCCTGTTGGCCAGGGTGGCTCGGCTCCCCGGCGGTGACTTGGGGGTCGACGCCTTGGCTTCCTCTCCGGGGCTGCACGGGCGTCGCTCGGGCCGGGCGACGCAGACGGAGAGGCGCGACGTCTAGACCGCCTCGCCGGGGCGTCCGCGTGAGGCTTCGAAGCACCCTCCTTCCTGGGCACAGACGCCTTCCTCTCGCCCACTTTCAACTTCAAAAGATGTTGGGAGTCCGACTCTGGAAGTGGGGGGTCCAGGTCAGGCGGAGGGTCCAGGTCAGGTGGCGCCTCTAGGGGTCCTTGAGGGACTGGAGGCTCCGGTGAGTTCGGGTGTGCAGTGGAGTCCAAGGAGCCCTGTGGAACCGGTGGAGATTGACTCCATGATTCAGCGAGGGTCGCCTCACGGAGAGGCCTGGCGGGCGAGTCGCTGCCAGCACTGCCGAAGAAACACAATCGGAAATATGCTTACAGAAAGAAACGTAATGGCAATGACGTCACCACAAAATAGGGGCCATTCTACTCTGCACAGTCAAGTGTGTGCCTAACACGCACTACACTGAAAATCTATCGGCGTGACTTCGTGCCGCTGCAGGAGCGTTAATGAATCACGCCAAAAACAGCATGACAGAAAAGTCAACGCCAAAAAACGGCGTGACTTAAAAATCCGCGCCAATTTTGGGTGTAAATTGCTCGCCATGACGCTTTTTGGCATGACTTTTCTCGTAAAACGTCTTGTCATTCACGGCAAATGAGGGCGTGACGCACACGTCTTGCCGTTTACCGGCGTTAATTTCGTGTCACGCCAATTTTCCGCGTGACCTTTTGTCACGCCATACTTTGGACATGTGTCCGACCAATACGTTTGCAGTGTATGGAGTTACCCCAAGGAACCAACTTCTTAGCTGAAAGCACCTCAAAAATTCTAATCGTCACTTGATGAAAATTTCAAAGAAAAAAGGTTCCCGACAGGAATACCATAAAAGTTGCTGATGACGTTGCCACGTCTACGCAATAAGAATAGGAGCTTTGGTGACAATATAATTGATTGTGATGTAAGTGTGAAATTAATGAGTATTACAAGGTGTACTCGCCCGTACATACGTACTCATGGGTACGCCAGGACGTTGAGTGGTTCTCCGCTCGGGTTTAAGTGTTCTTGGCAGGAGGCGAAAATCACGTAAGTTGATTCTAGCTTAACTTCGAAAGTCAGGCGAGAAGAGGAAGAACTGTTTGCGGGGCTTCTCTTTCCTGGCATTGCCTTGCAATCCTCAGAGAAAACTCTGGCGCCGTCGCGGAACGGAGCTAAGAGCGAAAAGGGGGGAACTAAGAACGACGCCGAGCGTTGGCTCCACCTACGCACCTCCATTTCAGCACCCTCACCGAGTCTTGTAATGCACTTGCGTAACGTGATTGTAAAAGTATTCTGGCTGGCACACTCGTAGACTGGAACCCTACAGATCACACATAGAAATTAAGACGATCGTCGGTTCAGAGGCAGAGAGAAATAGGATTTCCGGTTCTTGTACTCGCTCGCGGTCTTCAACCACCCAGACCCACGAGACGCTTTGTGATTCTCATTTTACTTCCACTGAACCTACGGATCGGCTAAACAAGAGGTCATTTCTGACTTGTTTTCGTTCTTCGTCTTCCACTCTCATTCCAAGTACGTGA